CAACATAGTGCTTATTTACCTCTTTCTGTCAATAAAATTAATCAGGCAAAACTGAGGTGTCACCTGGCACAACGCCTGGATCTGGAAGTAGCAGCACCCTCGGGGAAATAGGCACTGGAGCTACACGTTCTGAACCATCAGGCAAGTCCAGATCTAAGATTTTGGAGTTTCCAAACAATCTCTCTTATAGCAGTTTGATATTTAAACTGAAGATTTGGTTATAACTGGCATTATATTCAATAACAGAGGAGAAAGAAATGATAGGGATTGATTCATTGATTTCCATTTTTTCCAGAAACTTCAGGTGCTTTACATTAGAACAGACACAGATTGCCTTAATCATGATTTCTGGGTTTCAGGGACCTCAGGAGTCTCTGCAGGTTCCCCCACCACCGGTCCTGGTAGCAAGGGCATAAAGGGAGCCTCAACTACACCAGCCACAACCGCCAGAAGCCAGGCAGGTAAGTAAAAGGGAAAACACAGTGCTTCTTGTTCAAGGGCAAAATGGAAGGTTTATGGGCCCTTCCCCATTGTATTTATCTGTGAGTGTTGTGCAGAATGGAATGAAATACAAGTAGACTGGAGGTAGGGAGTCCTCTAATTGGCTATTTCCGATGCCAGCGGAGAGGTATGAACTAGATAGTGCTTTCCCATTCTTATATTCTGATTATTAGAGTCCTAAGTGTGCTTTTCGACATCGCTACTTCTAGGCTCCACACTGTCAATTTAGATTTCGTGAGTCTGAGCTGGGGTGGGGGTTGGGGAGCAGGCATAGGTAGAAACATACCTATTTAAGAAACACACTGGGTGATTTGTTTTATCAGACAATTGGTAGGAACAAAACTGGAGTAAGATCACTAGGAGTGGAGAAGTGAGTAAATACAGAGAGGTATCTTGGAGGCATAAAGTCACATGTTCCTCTGAATTTAACCAATGAGCATGATGTTAGAATTATGCTTCATTTTGACAGGCTCCACCAGACCATCAGCTGGTACACTTGGACCATCTGTTGGTACACCTACTGGGCCAAGTGGAACAACCGGAGCACCAAGCGGTGAAGTGACACCGTCTGAAGGCAAGTCGGATGAGTTGAGGACAGCAGTCTAAGGCCCTGGGTTATGCGGTCATTAATAATTATGGGTCAGAATTCTAATTATTTTAATCAGTGTGCTTTTAACAAAGTACAAATACCAAAACATGTAGGTTGTTGGAAAAATGACCATTTTCAAAAAATTGAAGTTTTGACTGTAATCTCTAAATGTCCTTCAGAAGTACTGTCAGTTGAGCCCGTTGTTGCTGTGTTTATCAGGTACCACGGGAGGGTCCGGGGGAGCGACCACAGGAGCAGGCAGAGGAAGCACAGCTGGAGCATCAGGCACTGGGGGCACCAGCGCTGGAAAGGCAGCAGGCAAGCCAAAGCTCACCTGGGGGCTGTGGTGGGGCTGACACAAGTTCAGCTGAAACCTCAGCTTTTGATAATGAGATTAAAGTAAAGTTAACTCAGGGCACCTCCACTCGTCTGTCAGTTTGTCATCCTGCAGTGGCATGAAACAAGTCAGTTCTCAAGCAATTGCCCTCACCTGAGGACGGCACAGGACCAGGCAGTGTTTCGTTCTGTTGTGCAGAGAGTCGCTATGAGTCGCAAGTGACTTGAGGGCTCATAAAACAACAACTAAAGACATCATTTTAGAAGCTAAAGACATGAAGGAAACTGAAAGATCCCAAAAGAGTGCTTCCTTTGTTTATATAATTTAAGCACCGCTGTTCTTCTCAATTAGGAACAACTGGAGGAACAAGTGCAGCCACCACTGGAGCTGGGGGTGAAAACACATCTGGAGCATCAGGTAACGAAGGAGCATAACCAGTAGGAAATCCAGTTGGTAGATGTGAGCATTTTCTTAAACTGACGTTTTATGCTATGATACAAATTCAGGAACACCTGGGGTATCACCTGGAGTGACCTCTGGACCTGGAAGCAGCAGCACCCCTGGAAAAGAAGTCACTGGAGCCCCGGGTTCTGGTAAGATAGGCCAGGCTGGACATGGTGCCTGAGCAGTTCCCATCCGGGCCCTCCTGCAGGAGGCGATGATCTGTGAAAATCGGGCTATAACTAGTGTCAGGAAACAGGGCTGAGGCAAGCTGGAGGGATCGTGTCTTTCACTCCCTTTTCTTCTGCAAACTCCCAACATCATCTATCAGTATACTGGTTGCAGGTTTAACAGCCACCCTCATCCTTGGTTTCAGGAACCACAGGCATCTCTGGAGGCTCCACCATCACCAGCCCTGGGACTGCAGCATCTAGAGGAACCTCAGCTACCCTGGCCACAGCCTCTGAGAGAAAATCAGGTGAGATAAAGGGAAACTTTGGTTTTTCTAAGGATAAAATAGAGTGAATTAAAAGAATTTTAGTTTTGAGGAGAAAAATTTATATTTATGCATATGTCAAAGGCAAAATACCACTCAAGGTAGAAGATAATCAAAGTGGAGAAGATGTTCTGAGGCCAGCATTGGAGTAGGAACTCCAGAGGCAGTTCTCCTAAGAAGAGAACTGATTAGTTGGGGGTGAAAAACAACGGAATTATTCTATTTTTAAATGAATATGATGGTGTAATCAGGGCATTATCAGCTGTATGTTTCTTTGCTGAATCGGGAAAATCTATATTCCTTATCTTGGGCACAACTCTCAAAACACCAGTAAGCTGAGTGAAATTTTAGGGCCATATTGATTTTCAGGAGAATAAAGAACAATCATGTTTCAAGAGACCCTAATAAAATGATCAGTTGATAACTTAATTAGCTGACTTTTTCTTTTCTTCCTTTGTAAAATTAAGCCTCACCTGGGGTATCACCTGGAGCAACCCCAGGACTCGGAGGTGGCAGCACCCCTGGGAGACCAGAAGCTGGAAGCACGAGCCCTGGGAAGTCAGGTAAGTCTGGAAAGGATGTCTCAGCAGTTCCCACCAGGCCTCCCCCAGCAGGCTGTGAGCTGGAGTGAGGGTCCAACTACAAGTGATATTACATTGCAGGGCCAAGGGAAATCACAGGAATAGTGTCTTGGGAGCCTTATATGTCCTAAATCTCAGCTTTGTTTAAGCAGATAAGAATAGATTTGAGTAATTTGAAGTGATTACCTTTGGTCCATTGTTGATTTCAGGACCCTCTGGTGTTTCTGCAGGTTCCACCACCATCCCTGAGAGTGAGAACACACCCGGGGCTTCAGCTACCCCAGCCACAACCTCTGGTAGCCAACCTGGTAAGAAACGTGAGAATTCAGTGAAGACACCGTTAGAGCCTCCTCATTCTTCTTATTAAAATAGCCTCTGAAAATGTCTATAGCTAACATTTACTTAGCACTTTTATGTACCAGACATTGTATAACCGTCTTATCAACTCATTTTGTCTCTTCAACACCCCTATGCGGTGGGTCTCACTTTACAGATGAGGAAACTGAGCCCAGAGTAGTTGGATGACTTGTCTAAGGTCCCTCAGCTAATAAGTTGTAATGGCGCAGGGACACCAACCCAGGTAGTCTGACCCTGTGGCCCTTCTTCTCTCAGATGTAATACTGCACTGTGGTTTAGCAACTTCACATTTAGGGATTCATTATTCACTTGATAAAGATGCAGCATTTTTGAAATATTCAGTTTAGAATCCAATTTATCACAGAGTTTAGTTACATTGCTCTGAGAATGTTTCTGTGAACGATTATCATCCTTTCTGCCTGCCATTAGGTACGACTGGCACATCAGCTGGCATCACAAGGGGAGGTGAAAGCTCCCCTGGGTTACCTGGGACCAAGTCCTCGGGAAATGAAACAGGTGAGTGAGAGTTCTTGTTCTAGTGAGGAACTCACAGCTGAATTTGTGGAGACCCTTTCTTATTCAGTCTCTCAAATATTGCATCTCTGTTGTTAACATCTGATGACCTGGTTAAATATTGCAATACACCAGAAATGCTTTTATCACAAGTGCAATGTAGTTCAATTAGACATGGTATCAACTTGATCCTTTATTTTGCACTGATGCTCTTAGAAGTCAGTAGTATTTAAGCTTAAGGAACCAGTGGGGCATATTATTTAAAGATGAATGGGCAGAAAAATGGTGACTGTGTAAAACAAAATCTCTATACACCTGCTTGTGTAAACCATAAAGATGAATACAGAGTCCACACCTACAGTATAAACAGGGAACAGAGAAGACTAAGACCCCAGCAGTTAAGAAAGATAGCCCTGGGGCCAGCCTTGGAGCTGACATTCAGGTAAGGGCACCCGGGAAGGGAGGGAGGCATAGAGTGATCCTAACAGTGGCAGACCACAGAAAGCATTAACTAGGGTTCAACCCTAGAAGGAAAGGACCAAATCTTAATGGAAAATACTGAGAAAAGATTTGAGACCTGGTGGGTCAGTGTCCTGTTGAACGTGGACCTGAAAGAATACTGACGAGTACATGGAATGAGCAGTATTGGGAAGGAACTGCTTGTAGCAGAGAGGAAGGTATAGGCAGAAGTTGAGGAATCCTTTGAGTCTGGGTGTCAAAGGAAAAAAAACCCCAGTATTTCAAGCTAAGGATCTGAATAAGAAATCATTAATAGCTATGAATCAGAAGACAGACCAAGTGTCACTTGTAAAAGAAATTACTTTTTACTGTACCAACGTAAGACACAGAAGTCCCTCTGAACAATCTGTGAGCCACCTTCTCTGCTGCCCTCCCCATGAAATTTCTTGCACTTGTTGGTTCAGTAAAGTCCAATGCAAATGAACGTGAAAAAGAAAAAGAAATTTCAACATCTATACAAAGGTTTCTTTGTATAAATTTTCAAAAATTTTCAGCAAATGCAAGCAAATTCTAAAAATCTAGTCTTGAAGCAGAGGAATGGTAAAAATAATGCTAACATGAATTTGAAATAACTGAGGAAATATTTTCAGATATAAAGGAACATTAAAAATGAGAATGTAGATAACTCAGAATAAAAATGGGTAAACAACAGGAAGATGTCAAATTGGAATTGATGCGACTCAGGAGAGAAATTGAAAAGAAAGAAAAATTATGTCAAAAGTAAAGACTAAATACCAAGGTGCTCCGTAGAGAATAAATGAGACTAAAGTTCAGAAAGGGGCATAGAAAGTAGAATTTAAAAGAATAACGTACTTTAAAAAGATATGTATAATGGATCAGAGGACACGTTTATAGGAAGAGACAACGATAATGTATATACTATTACAGTTTCTGGAGAAGAAAAAGCAATAAAACAATTGATATTTAAAACTGTAAATCAGGTAGAGCTTCTTGAAATAAAAATAAAAGACCTAATTTGTAGAAGGAACGGGCCCACCGTTTACCTTTAAGACTGAATTCTGAATAGTCAATTGTGTGATTTATTTTAGAAAACTTAGGCTTGGAAGATTAAAAGACAGAGATTCTCTGTACCTCAAGGCAAAATGACCAAGTTGTTTAAAAAAAAAAAAAAGAAAATCCGGTTAGCATCAGGGTTCACAAGAGTAGAAAGTAGCATCTGTAAGATAGTCAAGGGTAAACCAAATGTGGCCTAAAGATTTTATATAGTTAAGTATCGAGGCTATAGAAAACCAGTTTCAAACATGAAAGGGAATTTAGGGAATTAGGTACCCATGAGCCCTTCATAATCAATTCCCTAGAGGATGAGTGGTATCCAACAAGGAAATGCTTTGGCATCTTTAACCAAAAGACTATAGCACTGACTATTTTTATCTACAGATTGAAAATTAGAAAAAAAGTTGAGAGAAGGATGGAAGAAGAGTCTATAGATGTTACATAGTTTGACCAAGTAAAAATGACACATCAATCTATCAGTCAATAATCAAAAGGAAGAGGAAGGAGGAAAACAAATCATCAAGCTTACTGATTTCCTCATAGCTAACGGGAAGTAGTCCAAAGAATTATTTAAAGCTCATGAACCAAACAAGAGAAGCTTCAGTTTATTCCCTTGAATACCAAATAACAAAATGTGCTTTAAGAAAGAAAATAGTCTTTACTAAAATGGGAACGTGCAGAAGAGAATGAGTGAGAAGAGAAAAAGAAATTATAAGTGAATATGATTGTTGCTCACAGGGGAGAACCAATAGGTACTACCTGAAAGAAAACCGAGAGGGTGCTAGTGGGATTGTATAAAACCGTTCCTAAAAAGTAGCTACTAT